AGAAGACACAAAATGCACAAACCATAAACAAAAAGATGGATACATTTGACATTAAATAATTTTTGTTAATTTATGCTGCCATCTGGAGAAGATATTTATAGCATATACAACCAACAAAAAACTGTTACACAAAACATGTAAAGAACTATAAATCAATGAAGGAAGCACTCAAAATGGGAGAAATTTGTGACCAGACATTTTGCAGGAGAGGGAATAGACATGCTTAATAAAAATGAAGAAGTGTTCAGTGTCATTAATTGTTAGGGAGATACAATTAAAACAACAATGTTGGGGTGCCTGGGTGGCTCAGTTGGTTAGGCGTCTGCCTTCAGCTCAGGTCATGACCCCGGGGTCCTGGGATTGAGTCCCAAATCGGGCTCCTTGCTCAACAGGAAGCCCACGTCTCCCTCTGCCTGCCACTTCCCCTACTTGTGCTCTCTCTCTCTCCCCCCGACAAATAAAATCTTAAAAAAAAAAATCTTAAAAATAAAACAACAATGTTGGCAAGCATGAAAAGTGGAAAATTTGAAATGTTGGTAACAATATGTTTTATACTGCTGCTGGGAGCACACTTTGGAAAATAATTTGACATATAGAAAGGAGAACACTCACATATCATATGACTGAGCAATTCTACACATCTATCCATACCATAGAAGAGTTTCCAGCCCACCAGAAGAAGAAATATAAATTCTCTGTAGCACCCCAGACCTTCTAAATCAGAAGCTCTGAGGATGGGGCCAACAATCTGTTTTACAAGCTTTCCAGGTGACTTTAACATACATTAAATTTCAAGAACAAGTGTCCTAGAGAAACTTGTTTAAGGTCACATATATTTTTTTAAAGCTTTATTGATGTATAATTACATATCATAAAATTGTTTTAAGCATGCCCTAGAAAAACACTTGCACCAAGAGAGATGTACATTAGACATTCATAATAGCAATGTTTATAGTAACAAAAAACTGGAAACAACCTAATGTCCATTACAGTAGAACAGATAAGTAAATTTTACATAATTGCTTGATTACCATTCAGAAATGAACAGGATATCTAATACAAACATCAACATTCATGAAGCTCAACAACCATTTTTAAAACAAATCCTATAAAGTTAAAAAGCATGTAAAATTAAACATGAGATTTAGGAACAAATTTTCTATAAGAAATAAAGGAAATATTAGCAAAAAAATTACTGGTATTGGCTCTTTTTTAAAAGATTTTATTTATTTATTTGAGAGAGAGACAGAACACAAGCAGGTACAGGGGCAGAAGGAGAGGGAGAAAAAGACTCCCTGCTGAGCAGGGAGCTCAACACGGGGGGGGGGGGGGGGGGGGGGGGGGGGGGGGGGGGGGGGGGGGGGGGCTTGATCCTGGCACTCCGGGATCATGACCTGAGCTGAGGGCAGACAATTGACTGACTGAGCCACTCTGGCATGCCATGGCATTGGTTATTTCTTAAGCTGAATGATGACTACGTGGATGTTCATAAAAATATTGAAAACCTAAACTGTGCATATATGTTGTATATGTGTTTTGTATGTATAATAGAGTTCAAATAAAAAGGAGAGAAATTGATTTTGTCTAAGCAGGTGTTTGGCTGTGGTCACTCATACATACGGTTGATCAAAAGAAAGAAAAACAGGGTGCCTGCGTGGCAAGTTGGTTGAGTGTCTGATTTGGTTTCTGCTCAGGTTGTGATCTCCTGGTCATGGGATCGAGGCCTCCTCTGGGCTCTGTGTGCTCAGTGTAGAGTCTGAGTCTCTCTCTCCCTCTCCCTTTGCCCCTGCCCACCTGCTCTCTCTCTCTCTAAAATAAATCTTAAAAAGAAAGAAAGAAATTTGAAGCCTGCTAAATTTTTGAGGAAACTATATAGCCCTCAAAATCTCAAGCTTGCTTGGGAAACTCGTGATTCTTCCACCTTTACCATCCCCTGGATCCTGCATTTGCACCAATGGGGAGTGGACTGTGAAAGTTGTGTATTTCCCCCAGGAAAGTCACTTTCCCCAGTGCCCACATCAGATGCTGCCATAGATGGCTTTAGAATAAGAACATCTTCCAAAGAGGTACACCGGGGGTTGGGAGGGGATTGATAAGGGAAATCCTTCCAGAGAGCAGAATCAGAGTCTGCCCGATCTGATGGGTCATGCAAGGAACTTTCTTCATTGTTGGAACTTGGAGTCATTACTATTCCTGCCTGGCAGGATTTGGTATTTGCTATGGACTAGTGTTTTCTGTGTATTTCCCATTCTCCCCCTTTCTGAATGAGAGTTTTTATTGTAATTATTCTATTCTACCCTTATTACTGTAATATTGGGTATTTTGGGGAAGGTCAGGGGGGCAAACAGCTGTCTTGTCTTTCAGCTATCAACTGACAAACCATTTAAGAGTGAATGGCCAAGCAGACTGCAGAGACTCCAAACTTCAAGGTGGATGCAATAGGTGGCTGAAACTTTGGGTTGCTTTCCTTCAGGGTCTGATGAATGCATTCAGTGCAAAATACCTGCATGGGAAGAAAGGTGTGCTTGGGTATTAAGCAATTCAAGGGGTGAGTTATGACATCTTATGGTCTGACTAACCACATGTTTTTAACCCTCTCCTTGACTTCCTCTCTCATAAAGCCTGGGAAATTGAAGTACTGTACTCATTTTCCCAGACTCCTTTATATAACTAGGAGTGGCCATGTGACATAGTTCTGGACAATGACACACACGTGAAAAGGCTTTGGAAGGGCTTCTAAGAAAACTCTTTCTTACCTGATAAAAAGGAATAGCTGATGTTGGTTGCCCCCGTTTTCTTTCTTGAATTTGGATATGATTTCACAATCTCTTGCAACCATGGGGAAAACACCCTGAACCAATGCCTGCAACCGCCTACTTCAGTATGTCTTTAGATTAACAACAACAACGACAAAAACCCCTCTGTTTAATTAAGCACTGTTAGTTGGTTTACTTTATTATTTGCAGAAAAAAATCCCTAACTTAGACATCACTGCAAAATTCCTATCTTATTTTATGAGGACTATATCTGTAAAATATCTAATACTTACCAAGGCAAGTGTCCCTACTTCACGTCCCTCTGTTCATCCTATTTCCTAGATCAATTAAGGCAACGTTTGGGAGGAAATTATAGTTCCATGATATATTTTTTTAAAGCAGAGGTCAAAACCATATATAGTATTTTAATTAGCAAAGGCGCCAATTTCATAAAAGCTTAGAATAACATTTTCTATTTTGTTCCATAGTCTTATTTGTCATGTTTCATATTTTCATTGACTTCCTTTGGTCAGAGTTTACTGCTCCAGCATCTTCCTGGAAGAGTCCACAATTGCACTGAGTCTATTTTAACTATTTCCCTCTAGACTCATTAACTTGTACTTGTCTACATAGACACTCCCCTGCCACTTTTCTATAAGCTCACATAGCCTGGCACTTTCTGCTATTTATATTTGTTAGCTTAGCTGCTGCTTAAAAGCAGGGACAGTTGGGGTGCCTGGCTGCCTCACTTGGAAGAGCATGTGACTCTTGATTTCCAGGTTGTGAGCTCGAGCCCCACATGGGGTAGAAAGATTACTTAAGTAAGTAAAACTTGAAAAAAAAAAAAAAAAAAGCAGGGGTAGGTGCTCATAAAGAGATAAAACTGGCAGCAGCAGCCCACAAGGTGTGATGGGAGAGTAGGGCTCCTTCCCCTAAAATAACCCCATTTTAGGATCACTCCTTTATCTGGCTGTTGAAAGCTCTTTGTCTCTATAAAATGCTAAAGTGTTTGGGAGACTTCAAATTTTATTGGTTAAGCTGAGTTATGAGATAACATTCTGGTGGAGAGTAATTAACAAAAAGTAGTGAGGATGTCAAAGTGGGACTGGGACCTCCCTGAGTAGGAGGACCGACTTAGAAAGGGAAAAAAAGAGCACTAAAAAGGAAGGAGTGGGGGGGGGGCACGTAAACAATTTGCCTACATAATATCTTGTCTTTGGGACCTGAAACACAGTGTTCAGGAAAGTACTTTGAAATTAAGTATTGTTCAATGAATTATTTTTCTTACTGTTTGCCCATTATTCCTCACTGACAGTTTGTAGAGAGCCCTCAAGGTGATCTGTGGGGAGCCTCAGAGTTTAGGGACTCCTTGGGTAGTGATGGATTTCCTACTCCTTTTTCGGGTTGGTAAGCCAATCCCATAGTAATTCAGCTTTAAAAAAGATTTTATGTTGGGGCACCTGAGTGGTACAGTCGGTTAAGCCTCCATTCTTGGTTTTGGCTCAAGTCCTGATCTCAGGGTCCTGAGATCCACGCTTCAGCGTGGACTCTGCTTCAGACTCTCTCTCTCTCCCTCCCTCTGCCCCTCCCCCGTACTCTCTCTCTCTAAAATAAATAAATCTTTAAAAAAGATTTTTGTGGAGAATATTTTCAAAGGTGTAAAAAATCTTAACTAAATTGTTTCTACTTGCTTCCTCTTAAACCGCGATTCACTTCCTTGGAAGAACATGGTGCTTCAGTGCCACCCAAACTGGACGCAGACACTCAGGGCTACTGATTTTACACGCAGTCTTTTTTTTTTTTTTTTTTTTACACGCAGTCTTTTAAACGCCACTACTGAAAACACTTCTGGGGAATCTGGGGAGTCGGGCCACAAAGTCAGCGAAAAGCTCTGTACAAAGAAATAAGCCATGTTCTCTGCGTCCATGATATGCAAGGCGTTGTACTCCCTTGTCACTTGTTACCTTTCAAGGAGACCTGCGAGGCCCGGGAAAGGCAAGAGGCACCAAGTCTGTGCCTGCGGAAAACAGCAATCTGAGCGGCGTGAGCTGCGCCAGGAGACGCAAGCTTTCGCCGGCTCAGAGCAGGCGGCCAGGTGGAAGCGCGCGCCCTGCGCCTCCGCCGCCGTCCCCGGGCCGGCCAATCGGGAGGCGGGCGGGAGGGGGCACGGCCGGCCGGGGCGGGGCCGGTTTCGCTGCTCCGGGGTCGGCTCGCCAGCGCGCGGGGCGGGCACCTCTCGCTTCCCGCGGCCATGGAGCGGCAGATTTTGCCTTCCGGCGGCGCCGCAGCCGTGGGCGAGTACATGGAGTATCGGAGGTGAGGCTGCGGCTCGGCTGGGCCAGGAGAAGCCAGGCGGGCCGCGTCCCCCTCGCGGGAGGAGTGCGGGGGCAGGGGGGCGGGGGGCGCGGACAAGGGGCCCGGCGCCCACCCCCTGGGGCTCCCGGAATCTGTTCCCAGGCGGCTGGGAGAGGCTTACTTATCTTGATTTAAGTTTCGTCTTTTTGTAATTAAATATTGTAATGACATGTAGTTCTGATAAGTCTCTTCCGAGGCTAAGAGGTCTCCCGCTTCGACCCCTTCCAAGACGGATTATAAACTCTTAAATTTATGTAGAGGTCCAACTGTTTTTTTTAAATGGCCATTGGAGAGTTACACTGTGAGTACTCGGGCCTTATAAGAAATAGCAGACGTCGTTTGCATGTTAGTTTAGTCGTAGGGTATGTCGTGAACTTCCAACCATGCTCCCAACCCCGAGGTGCTGGTTTTAGGAGAAAGACAGACTGGTGTAGTTTCGGTGGTTCCGGAGAAACTCCTCTCACGTAGCTGCCCCTTTGGCTTGAGGACGCGACTCGCTGCCCTGGGCCTTGACAAAGGCTGATGCACCTGCGGAAACGTGTTATTTTTTCCCCGTCTCCCAAGAAAGGTTTTTGGCAGTTGGGAGATTGGGTGAGTAGGAATTCCTGAAGAGATTGTAGTAGGAGGATGTGGGGTTGAGGGCGCCAGGGGTGGCGGGGTCCGGCGGGGGGCGGGTGGGGGAGAGGATAATGTGTGTATATACACGGGAAGTGAGGCAAATCACTGCTGCCTGGGAAATCCCAGCGGCCTTGAAAACCTGAGCGAGAGTGGTTGCTCTGCTTAAAGGTGGTCGCCCCAAATCACCCAGCGTTGTTAGGGCAAACGGTTTTCCTTAGCTGACCTTCACTCCTTCTGACTGTCTCGGTGGTATAGTTTTGGGGAGCACCTAGAAATGGTTGGTAATTCTGAGCCAGACAAGTAAGAATGAGGAGCTTCATGGGTCAGGCCTCATCCCCGGGTCCGGTGGGTCCCAGGTAAGGCCATGAGTCCCGTACCCAGAACAGTTTCCACCCAGCCCTCACCAGGGCTGGGCCGGCTTCTTTAGCTCCAGGTCTCCAAGGCTTTTCCCTGGGAGCAAGTTGCTGGGCCTTGGTGTTGACTGATAACTTAGATCTTTAGATGTTTAGATATGTGGATTGTGGGCCTCCAGCTATGGTCTCTTGCCTGGTCCAGAAAATGTTAAGACTGGTGGCAAATTATTTTTGCAAATATAAATAACCAGGAATAGTTCACTGTAAATGTTAGAGCCTTGCTATTCAAAGTGTAGCAATCATGGACCAGCTGTGTAGGCATCACCTGGGAGCTTGTTAGAAATGCACACTCTCAGGCCCACTCCAGACCTATTAACCTAAATCTGCATTTGAACTAGATCCCTTGGGGATTCTGTAACTACTGTAAAGTTTGAGCTGTGCTGGTTTAGCAGTCAAATATAAATGATCTCTGTCTTTAAAGACCTGCATTGATCTTTTTTTTTCCAGTACCTATTGATATGCTACATGGTAGCTATTAAATGTGAAATGATCCAAAACTTTTCTTAGAATAAAATGCCCCCCCCCTTTTTAACTATTGTGTATCTAAATTATTTAATTAAGGAAGAAGGTTGTGATGGTTTCATAGCTTCTGAATTGGTTTTATTTATCTACCTCAGCTAAAGGCTTGAAAGTATGGAAAAAGGTATGGATTGCACAAAAAATTAAGTAGCATTCTACAAACAACATCTTTCATGGCTTTTAAGGGACGATGTTTTCAAGGAAAAATTTCTTCAATTTTGAACAAATTCTTTTACTTGTGCTTCCTTTTTCTCCAGGGATGCCAACTCTTAATTTCTCCAGAAATTAAGCAATAGTGGTCGCTTAATTTTTCCCATAAAACTTTGAAGTCGAAGTTTTGGAATTAAAGGATGATTGATTACTCAATATAGATGTGGGTTTGCGCTTGTGCAGATCCAAGGGTATTTGTGGGTTTAAACTCCTGGCCAGGGTTTGGGTTCGCATTACCCATGTTGTCTTCGGCACTGATGTTTTTTGTACTATTGTTTTTTGGGAGGAGTACTCTTTTTAAAGGAGGAAAATATTAGAATTTTTAGTTTAGACTCTAGCTTTTAATGAAAAGAATGAGCGTGTTTGCTTCAGAATCAAAGGAGAAACTGAGATTGAATTTGTGGTAATTGTCCAGCGGTAAACCTGGATCAGTAAAGTCAGATGTCATGAGTTCATTAACTTTTATTTAATTTAGAATCCTCTTTTACTTGGGAAAGAAAAGCTTTATTCCTATTGTGTGTAATTTTGCTATTAACATAAGCCTAAAGTAAAAAATCAAATCTGAAGAAGCATTTCTTTTGACTATTCAAGTATAGTTTAATTTTAGAGCGTAGTATTTTTGACCTGGAAAATAAATATTCAAGGCTTAAGAGAAGTTTTTGTTGTAGAATTGTCGGTGAGGACGATGGAGGGAAACTTTTTACTCCTGAAGAATATGAAGAATACAAGAAAAAAGTATTACCTATGCGCTTACAGAACAGATTATTTGTGAGCTGGCGATCACCAGCTGGAATGGATTGTAAGCTTGTGGGTCCAGAGACACTGTGTTTTTGTGCACATAGGTAAGATGTTGCTAAGTTTTCTGGTGATTAGAAAATATAAAACTGTATCAGAGTGTATCTTCCTTCTATAAATAACATTACTTGTGATAATTGAGAAATATTTAAAAGTAGGCTTTTATATACTACCCTAGAAATTGTCTAAAGTGGTTTTATTTTTTTGCTATAATTAAAAATTTCTCTTCTATCCTATTAGAACTCATTGTGGAGTCCATAACCCTAAGCATCTCTTTTCTTGCATTTGGTGCCTGCCCCTGCAGCTTTGCCAGGGGTCTACTTCTCCCACGACTGGATAAGTTAGTAAAGGGTGGGTCATCAGAATGCAAAATTGCTTTAAGAGTTGCTTGAGTTGACCCACACTGAACAGGTTACCAGTCTACAAATAGAAGCATTTCTCCTTACATTTACTCATCTCCCTTTGTTTTAAGAAACGTGTTGTGTTGATACCTTTCTTTAAACAAACAAAAATATAAGCACACAGCTTTTTATTACAAATGGTCCTTTTCCAAGTAAGGCATGTGGAGGAAAGAAAATGCAGGAGGCTCCAGTCACTGATGTGTATTGCCTGTACCTGAGGTTTGCATTTGGCTGTGTTTGTTGTGTTCTACTTTACATTTTACTGCTGTCACAGGTCACAGTTGTAAAGCTCAAAAGGACAAAGCTGCTTCTTGGAAAAATCACTGAACCTATTATGTGTTTTCAGGTAACAACTTTTTAACTTTCTGTTCCAGACAAAGCATGCAAGGAGAACCGCCCTGTTCTCATAGTTTCTGGGGCTCTCTCCTGAGAGACTCTTTGCGTGGTTGCTATTTACATACAGACTTGCCATCTGCCAAAGGTTGTTAAGCATTTGCTAGGATGAGTAATGTTGTATATAGATTGACTTGAAACTTATTTAGCAACCCCAACTAAAAACACTTTGGAGAAATGGAGGATGAGGGTTATGTTGAGCTCTTTCAGAGTTCAAGAGGAGTTTGGTAAATTTGTGTTGGTTTTATCATTTATTCTTGTACAAATTTAGTGCCAGTCTCACATATGCATAATTATGTAGCATGGAATTAACTTTCAAAATGAACCCAAGCCAACTTCCATGGAAAAGTTCTTCAGTACTGGTCACTCAGTGAGATCTCTGTCTAAACTATTATTTTTTCCCTATTATAAATATTATAATTATTATTAAGGTAAATGAAGAATATATAGAAAAATAGAAAACTCACCACCCAAAGCTAGCTGCTATCAATACATTTTACTATATTCATGTATTTTTTTTTTAAAGATTTTATTTATTTATTTGACAGAGAGAGACGGCCAGAGAGAGAACACGGAAGGGTAAGTGGGAGAGAGAGAGGCAGGCTTCCCACAGAGCAGGGAGCCCGACGCGGGGCTCGATCCCAGGACCGTGGGATCATGACCTGAGCCGAAGGCAGACGCTTAATGACTGAGCCACCCAGGCGCCCCGATGTATTTTTTCTTTACATAGTTCATTTGGTTGTAAATGATGTGTGTGTATAAATATTGAACAAGTTTTTAATGACAGAGTCACAGAAATGTGTTTCCACATTGTTATGTGGTAATCACAAATAAGATTTTTTTTTTAGGATTTTATTTATTTATTTATTTGAGAGAGAGAGACAGAGATAGTGAGAGAGAGCACAAGCTGGGAGGAGAGGGAGAAGCAGGCTCCCAGCAGGGAGCCTGATGACACAGGGCTCATCCTAGGACCCTGAGATCATGACCTGAGCCAAAGGCAGACACTCAACTGACTGAGCCACCCAGGCGCCCCCACAAATAAGATTTTTAATACCTGCTCAATATTCTAGCTCGTCCAGTGGTGTTCATTGTGTGTTCCCCAGAGCTGTGAGGGAGTCTCAGTGGTACCACATGAAAGGGCAGGTTCGAGGAAGGACAGACTCTAATTCTGGCTCTTTCCCTTGCTTTAACCAATTTTGCTTTTATCTGTTTTATATATTATGGTTCTGTAAGAGATTTTATTTGCAGGAGGGGTTTCACTGCTAGAAATTTTAAAAACTGTTGTCTATTGATTTACTGATTCATTCCCTTATTAATATGTTGTGTATTGCTATTGTAAGTACTGTTGCTGATACTGTTTTTATGCACACAACTCTTTATACACAGAATTATTTTCTTGAGGTATATTTTTGAAAAATGAACTCTGGGTTAAAGGATTTTTTTTTACTATTAAATTTGATGATTTTATTTTTATTGAAGTATAGTTAATATATAACGTTAGTTTAAGATGTGTAACGATGATGTAATGTATGGTGGTTAACATAACAATAAAAAATTATTTAAAAAAAAAGATGTGTAACAGTTATTTGACAATTATATACATTAGGAAACGCTGTATGTGAAATTATATAAACCATGGAAGGTATGGATGGATCTTTTTAAGTTTCTTAAAACATTAAATGAGAGAGGTTCTTCTATAACACGGCACTGAGGTTCTTCTTGACGGCATTGTGAATTATGTATAGTTTTAAAAAAATGTTGGTTCTCTTTGCTAAGTGAAAAATGGTATCTCATTGCTATTTTAACTTGTACTACCTAGATTAATATTAAGAATAATGAATTTAATATTATTTTAGTGTGTATCACCTTAAGAGCAGGAAGTGAGTGGCCTATTTAAGAAAATTACAGTGTTTTAACAAAGCTTTGGCTTTTAAAAATGTTGACAATTTATTTTGAAGCTAAAAGTTAAAAATTAAATCATATTAAAATAAATTACATTCATGTATGTTTATTGAATTCATTTCAGTTTTAAATAGCAAACCTATGAAAATAAATTTCAGTAATGTACTTGGATAAAAAGAATTTTTTTAAAGAACTTTTTCCACACTCTTAGGTTGTGCTTCCATATTAAAGAATCTTTAGTGGTAAGTATTTAAAGGGAATTATATTTCTTTGTATATTGCTGTGAAAATTCTTCTTAAATAACTAAATATAAAAATCTAAAAGAGTGAAAGTTTTTTCTGACCAAAGCAATTTGTGACGGAGCTGACAGAAACAGTGTAAGGGAGTTTATTTTCGCCTTACTAACAAGAACAGCAAAATAAAAATAAAAAAGAATAATCTGCGTTTAACAGAGTAGAGATTGTCATTTCCAGCAATCCCTGCATTGTTTTTGTTTCTTCCCTTTTATCTTATTCATTTTTTAGGTATAAACAACATAAAACTGACTTTGAAACGATTCCACAGCAGCGCCCCATCAGTCTCCCTTGCCGAGTGAGCGGCTGCGGGTGCAGGGCGTACCTTTATGTCCCTCTGAACGGCACCCAGCCCGTTCGCTGCAGGTGCAAGCACCTTGCGGATCAGCACAGTGCTGCGCCCGGCTTTCTCTGCAATGCCTGTGAGTTACATTGTTATAAACACACCGACAGAATGTTGTCTTTCTTTATTGGATATTTTTTTTTAAAGATTTTATTTATTTATTTGAGAGAGAGAGAATGCGAGATAGAGAGCACGAGAGGGAAGAGGGTCAGAGGGTCAGAGGGAGAAGCAGACTCCCTGCCGAGCAGGGAGCCCGATGCGGTATTCGATCCCGGGACTCCAGGATCATGACCTGAGCCGAAGGCAGTCGCCTAACCAACTGAGCCACCCAGGCGCCCCTCTTTATTGGATATTTAATGCGTCTTTGTGCCAGTTTTATTCAGCTGCGAGGTCAATATTAAACAACTCAGAAAAGTCTGATGGACAACCACTCTAAAATGTTATTTTCGCGGAAAAACTCTGAGTTATTTGTATGTTTTGCACTCATAAACCCTAATCTCATGTAACTCAAATAGGTTAAATGATAGTAATAGATTTTAAAGAATACCTAGACGTGATTCGATTTAAATTTTAGTTTATTTATTTTTAAATAGGCTCCATGCCCAACAGGGGGCTTGAACTCAAAACCTTGAGATTTACAGTTATATGCTCTACTAAGTGAGCCAGCCAGGTGACCCAGATTTAAATTTTTGAATGGGAATTTTATCAACTAAATTCTTTTGACAGGTTTTTAAAAATGATCTGATAAGTTGAAAAAAATTTTTATAATTTGCTGGCAGATTAGGATGTTATTGCCTAAAACATAGGCTGATGGGAAAAGCAAAAGGAATTGAAATACGTTATAAAACATTTTTAATGACAGTGGCAGGAATAAATGTATTTCACTGGCTAAGTATGGAAGTAGTTGGATAAAACTTTTTGTGTGCCTTTGTTCCCATACACATTTTTTAAGAAGTGTGAGTGTGTAAAATTTTGTTAGTGGTGTATTCTAGCCTCCACTTCAATATTGTTTTTTTTAAAAAGAATATATAACACTTTTATTAAGATGTAATTCCCATACCAAATAACTCATCCATTTCATGGGTACAATTTAGTGGTTTTCTAATATACTCATAGAATTGTGCAACCATCACCACAGTCAATTTTAGAACATTTTCATCACCCCCAAAAGAAACTCCATATCTATTAGTAGTCATTCCTGATTCCTTCCTCTCCCCAGCCCTAGGCAACCAATAATTACTCCCTGTGTATATGGACTTGTCTATTCTAGACATTTCATATAAATGGAATCATAGAATACGTAGCCTTTTGTAACTGGCTGCTTTCACTTGCATAAAGTTTGTATGAGTCGTGTTGTAGCATATGTGTCAGTACTTCTTTGCTCTTTATTGTTAAACAATATTCCATTGTGTCCTTTCTCGGTCCTGGGTTGGCTTTCCTATAAGGTTTTTATGGGGCCTTTATCCACAGGGAGGCCTCCACATGATCTCTTCACCTGGTCCTACCACTGGGCTGTCCACACCTGCTTTTAACTCCGTATTTGAGGAGAGGGCCTTCATTTCCTGGCTTTCCAGTGTTGGCGCAATTTCTTTTAGTGCTGGTTGGTTTTTCCGATGCTTTTTCCCCGCGCTACATACCTTGTCTTTCTCACTTCAGCATCTTACAGAAGAGCGGGGCTGGGAGGGAGTTTGGGGGCTGGAGGCTAGAGTTTTAGAGGCCATAGGACAGCCTATAAAGGATCCAGATCCAGGTGATTGTGGCCAAGCTGAGCATTTTTAGGGCAGACGCTTTAGTACCTATATTTAAAGACCTTTAACTCCCTTTACATCTTGATTCAGGTTCCAAGTGTTCAGGATTCCATAGTTGCTTCACTTGTGCTTGTGGTCAGCCTGCGTATGCTCATGACACAGTGGTGGAAACTAAGCAAGAAAGACTGGCTCAGGGCAAGCCAGTGGGACAGGATGTTCCTTATGCGGCAATGGGAGGCTTAACAGGTTTCAGCTCACTGGCGGAAGGCCACATGCGGTTAGATGACAGTGGGATTGGTAAGTGATGACCCATGAAACGTGAGCTTGTCGTATTGTTTTTATGTGTACTGACGATAGCGAAGCCCTGTGTTTGTTTCACACTTTATATTCTTTAGTTTTTTTCCAGAAAACATTCTCTCATTGGATTTTTATTTTTTTTATAAAGGTTTTACTGCCACGATACAATATATGGTCCTTATAGAAAACAAAAAAGATCACTCCTACCCCAATACTTGAACCCAAATCCCAACCCACAACCCTGTTGTTTGTGATAGCTGAGTATTTCTTTTATTTGATACGTTGCACTTTACCTGTTTCCCTATTGTACGTAATTTTTTGCTATTATAGCCATCTCATTTTGGAAACAGGCTTATGTCCATGTGTGCATATGCCCATGCACGTGTATACATGTTATCACATTTATAAGAATGTATGCACACACTGCTTGCACACATGAAAGTTTTAAGTAATATAGGGAAAAGTTCAGTTGGATATAGAACTATTGAAGGTAGCTGGATTCTTCTTTTTTTTTTTTTGGATTCTTCTGAAGTTGAATAGGATTGGGGAGAAGAATACGGTTCCTATCTACTTTAAATACGTCTGTGTATATGCATTTTTTTGTATTCAATTTTTTTCAGTACAAAAATTACATAAATATAAATGAATATTTTCTTGTAAAAGATTCAAACAGTAGAAACGAAGTATTGTAAGGCCCCCTTGAACACATTTTTCTTTACCCCAGATTCTTTCCCAGAGGGTAATTTGCTGTCATCAATTAATCATTTATTTTTCTTTTTAGCTTATATTTTTATAGTTTTTAACTTGGAAAAGATTTGAAGGCCTGTCATATCAGAACATGCAAATCTATTTAATTCTTTTAAACCCCTGCGTAATATTCCACGATGTCAGTTTATCAGGTTTTCTAAGCTCTACTGTCAGTTTTTCTAAACCTTGTTCACGGCATTTAGATTGTTTCCATTTTTTTCTTTTTTGCCTTTACAACTAGTCCTGCCAAAAACATCCTTGAACTTGCTTCCTTGTATGCTGCATAAATTGGGCCCTAAGGTAGATACAGAGAAGTAGAATTGTTGGGTTGAAGTGTGTGAAATTTTGTTAATACATCTGTCAAATTGCCTTCCAAAAATGCTATACTTGTTTATACTTCCTCTAGATTTTTTAGCTTCCCTATTTCTCACATTTATGCTGATCATTGATATCGTCAAATCCAATTTTTTGTCAGTCTGAAGTGTGAAAATGTTACTGTTTCAGTCTGATTTTGATTTCCCTGGTTATTAGTGAGATGAGAGTCTTCTGGTATTTATTGGCCCTTTTACTTTCTGTGACTTGTCTGTTACATACTTTGCTCACTTTTATGTTTTTATCTTTTTTCGTTTATTTATAGGTGGTCTTATATATTCTGTATACTAATCTTTTGTTATTTCTTTTGCTTTTAATATTTACTTATTTAACAGAGATAGCACAAGTAGGCAGAGCGAGAGGGAGAAGCAGGCTCCCCGCTGAGCAGGGAGCCTGATGCGGGGCTCGATCCCGGGACCCTGGGATCATGACCTGAGCCGAAGGCAGACACTCAACCGACTGAGCCACCCAGGCGCCCCTCTTTTGTCATTTCTTTTGCAGATATTTTCTTCCAATCTGTCCTTGTTTTTTATTTTTTATACAGTTTTTAAATTTTGGAGCAATTTTGTAATTATGTTCACCTTCATTTCACTTTAATACTTAATTTTTTTTGTTTTTATGTTTAGCTTTTTCATGAATTTGGAATACATTTTTGTGAAAGTGTGGGGTATATATAACTTCAGTTTTTGCCCAAATTGATAGCTAATTATCCAAACACCATTCTTTCCCAAATAATTTGAAACTTTACCTTTCTCATATTCTGTCATTCTCACTATTTTGTGGCATTGGCCTATTTGTCTATCTTGTGCAATATCACTTATTTTTAATTATTATTTTTCGTAGTGTGTTTTGATAAACACAGGTAAATGCCTCCTGTTTGTGTTTTTTTTTTTCCCCCAAGATTCCCTTGGTATATCTGTGTATTTCCTCTTCTAGGTAATTTTATGACTAGCTTGTTAAATTCCATAAATAAATCATTTTTCAATTTTCATGGGTGCATGATTTTATTAAGCTCATGGGACAGTTACAGAAAATCGAGTTCCCAATGGCAAAAAATAATAATAATGATGTTGTTGATGACAATTGCAGCTTTGACTTCCACGAGTCTTTCCAGCCTCTTTACATCTATTAACTCATTTAGTCCTCACAATAACTGAGTTAGATGCTATTATTACTCTTATTTTACAGATAAGGAAACTTAGCACAGAGAAGCACAACATCTTGTTCTTTGTTATTCAGCTAGTAAATGGTAGGGTTGGGTTCAAACCAGAAATTGTTCTGGGCTAATCGGTCTGCCTCATTGTTGTCTATTTCTGTGCACCTACCATGCTGTTTTCAATACTAAACTTTATAATAAAGTAATATTTATAAGTTCATTGCATTACTTAAGAATTTTCCTGACTTATTCTTACTAATTTTTTCAGAACTTTGGCATTATTTTTTACAACACTCTATTATTACAAAACATTCTATTTTTACAAGAACATTCTGTTATTTAGTTGATATCATGTTGGATGTATAGGTTAATGTAGGAAGAATTGATATTTTAAAATGTTGAGTCTCTGCATTTGTCTTCTGTGTAGCTGAGTAGAATTCTGAAGTTATCTTCATGGAAGTCCTCAGTCTATTTCTTAGTTTTCTTAATTTTATTTGTGGGTATTTCATTTTTTTATAGCTATCATACGTCGGGTTTTTTCCTTCCTTTATATTTTCTAGCTGATTATTATTTGTTTATAAAAAACCGAATGTTTTATGCTGTTTTTGTTACTAGTCCTTTATTTCTTAATCTTAGAGTTTAAAATAAATATTTGGTTGATGTTGTAAATTACAGTATTTTTTCCTTTTCCAGTATTTCTGGCTCTTACGCTTGACTAATTACAAAGGCTCGTACTTGTAGAGCAGTGCTGAGTAATCGTGGAAATAGCTCGCGTCTTTGCCTTTTTGTGCCTTCTACTATTTTATCACTTAGGCATCTTTATAACAAAGAGAGAAAACCTCCCGCTTTTGGCCCCTGAAGGAAGGTGGGGTGAGGAAGGTGAGAGTGAGGAGAGGAAACAAGATGTCTTTGTCTTGATTTCTGCTCGAGGGGAGCCTGGGGCGGAGGGACATCTGTTCTATCAGCCATGTAGAGTCCTGGACAGAGGTGACAACTTGCTGATTTGGTTCCTTTATGATGCAGAAGGAGTCCCTAATGCTCAGCTCCTAGTGGGTGGGTGGGTGGAAGGCAGCTGAGCCGTAAGGCAGTGGACCTGCCATGACTTTTGTCATAGCAAGGGGATCCCGAGCAGAGCTAGAGGTGGGTCCTCGGAACTCTGGGAGATTCAGTAGAGGAAGTGGCAGGCATCAGGGGGTCCGTACTTGCAGTGAGAACAAGTGTGAGGCCCTACCAAGCTGCGAGACTAAATCACCACTTACCAGCCTTGAGTATTTGAGATCAGCAGTGCATGCAGCAACCAGAGGACAGCACAAGGACCTCAGTGGCCCTGAGTGCCTTCTCTTATACCCCGTCCAGCCACACCAGAGAGGAGCTGGGGAAGGAGGGGGCAGGAAACTGAAAGAATGAGCAATTGCCCCACACTGTTTAGGTTATAAGAAAGGACTCATTTTAAAAACCAAATATGATTAATTTTTTTTAAGATTTTTATTTATTCATGAGAGACAGAGAGAGAGAGAGAGGCAGAGGGAGAAGCAGGCTCCCAAGGAGCAGGGAGCCCGATGCGGGACTTGATCCCAGGACTCTGGGATCATGACCTGAGCCGAAGGCAGACGCTTAACCATCTGAGCCACCCAGGCGCCCCCCAAATAGGATTAAAGGTTTATTTCCTTCCCTCTATCCGCTCTATGCGAGAGGGATGTAGGGGAGGTGGTGGTTTGTGAAGAAGATAGAGCACTTATTAATTTTCTCCATAGCTTCCTTCCTTTTGATCTAAAAGTCAATGTATTTAGCAATTGGTCTTTGTAATTTTGTGGTGTGGGGTTGTGGATATTTCCTCATTTCATTGAGTTTTTCTTTATTTTTCATACTTTGTTTTGAGTTGATTTCCCAGTGAGGAACAGAGTAAAAAACACAGTTATTCTGCCCTCTTCAACTGCAGGTTCTTTGTCATGAATGTCTTGCTTTTGATAATATTTTGGTGACTATTTAAGGTTTTGTACCTCTTTGTCATAGTAACTTTTTTTTCTGTGAAAAATATCTCTGAGAAATACAAACATACTTTTACCTAATTCCCTTTACTTTATATGGCAGATAAAAATCTAAATAAAAATTTCTTTTTTATAGAAAGGTTTTTTCTAATTATTCTGCTGAGATTCTAATTTATATTGCATTGAAATAACTTTTTTGTATCCCAACAAATGGAGGTTTAATTTTCATTCTTCATATATTTTGTTCTTAGGTGCACCTTCAATTGAATTTTTAGACTCTCCAGTTACAGCTATGGACCACCCATTTCTAAAAGCATTTCAAGCATCATCTAGTTCTCCAGAAACACTGACAGATGGTAATGAAATTAAACTGACAAATATTTTTGGATGTAGTAAATAAGTGTAGATTGATTCATTTTCTAGATCATTTTTTCCTCAGTATTACCACAATTTGGTTATCATTTTATTTTTATATTGGCCTTGGACTGAGAAAAAGCAGGAAGCTTTTTTTTTTGAAAATTGCTAAATCTGAGAATTATGAGGTTCTAATAATACAGTAATTTGAAGTTTTAAAACCTTACACGTTATTGCTTTGATGTCTGAAAAAGAGAGCCCTCTAGTGGCTCTCCCAAAAGCAGGATGTAATCCGGTGGTAAGTTTAGGTTAGAAAGGTTGTGTCATTTATAAATTATACATATACATATAAATTGTGCAATGCATTATACACATATATGAATTTTATTCGTTTATAAGCACTAGTATTCTATTTTCTTTATTAAAACAAGAAAAAAACATTGAAGAAGTAATTTTTATGATGCATTAGGTATTTAATATTTACAAATATTTTTAAATGAGAATTTTCTTTTTATTAGTGTTTTCATGCAACCGTTTCATGTACCCTGACTTTCTCCACAAGGGACTTTAGGGCTGCTTACACAAACACCCAACAAAGTAATGTTAAAATATAGATAGGAGAAATCAAAACCAAGAAAAAGGACACAGTTGTGTCAACTTTCAAGGTTGATGTAATTGCTGCTGATGAGGTCTGAGGCAGACATGGTCCTTCAGAACTTTTTTTCAGAAGAAGACAGGCACACTTGTCTGCCCTGTGGTCCTGAGAAACCCGTTACGCAAGCCTTCTCGGTGTGGGGTGGGGGCGGGATAGAGACAGTTCCCCATCCCAAGGCTCAGTGTGTAGATCTTTCAAGATGGTGGAGATGAAGTCCGAGGCTTCTTCCGCCTATTTCTGTCTGGCCAGACGTTTGCTCTCTCTGGTCACTGTCCTGGCGCTGGGCTATTTCATGTAGGTTGTCTTCTGGCCTCAGAGTGTCCCTTGTCAGAGCCTTGGGCCCCTCGGCCTCTTCACTCAGGACTTGGTGGACCATATCACACCCTCCTACACACACAGTGGCCACTGGCTTGCCTGGCTGATTCATTTGGGAGAGTCCTCGTAGCCATGGTTTTGTGTAAGTCTAAAGGCATCATGGATGGTCAGGCTCAACTACTCTGGTTCCTACAAACTTTCCCCTTTGGGATGGCATCTCTCTCCATCTTGATTGCTTGTAGACCAAAACGCCAAAGACACACTTAAAGAAGATATCCAAAAGCTTTCTCTATGTTTTTGACATTCGACTTCACTGTTTTGGGGGTGGGGGAGGGGGCTGCTGGGATAGCTGAGTTTACTTGATCTTTCTACTTTCGGAAACTGAAGACCCTCTAGTTATTCATTATTCTTTCATATGCTCTGGTTGAGCTTGACTAGATAATAGGGAAGGATTTAAGCTTCCCAATTCTGCAGACTCACCTGTTTGGCCGAGGGCTTCCAGCTACCTTCTTGAGGCCCTTGGCAGTGTTGGTGCTCTTTCTATCGTGTGGATTAAACTGTGTCCTAAAACTGCTTGTTGGTGTAACTTTGCTCCCACCTTCTGACTAAAACACCATACCCTTACCATCCATCTTAGCTCTCCTTTCCCCAAATTTTTTGCACCTTTCTGAACCAAGACAGAATGACACTCCCAGGACACATCAATTCCACACACATTAGGCACCAGTGAGGCAGGATCTTCTCCTCTCAGACTTCCATTTCTCACACACCAAGGAAGATAAGGAAGATAAGCAAGTGCCTGGAATGGGCCAGGCTGAGCAGTAACCTAGAGGCACAGAGGACACGCTGAGTACCAAGAGGAGGGGATCTGGAATGCCTTCCCTGATCATGCCAGCCAGAAGCCGTCCTTCCCTCCACACGGCCCCGAGGACACAGTACTCTGTGGTGTGCAGGGGTCTGATGGCCACTGCTAGATGGCTCCTTCCGGTCAAGATCACATCTTAGACAGCTTGATTTTTTTTTCAGCTCTGTCCCCCTTGCCTTGTACACACTTTTTTGTGTGTTCTATCAGTGTTTTCTGAACCATGGACAGAAACTCTGAATTAACTTTCCACTGTTCAGTATCATTCCACTTGTTCTATGAAAACTGCAGAACCCACTCAGTGTATTCTCTTCTCAAAGAAAAGCACAGGGCCACCCTTGACTGGTGGTGCCCCCTTTCTGTGGGTCCCCCAGGAAGAAACCTGTATCTTTTTCTCACTTGCCTATTCTTAGTCACTTTCTCCAGACTCTGTAATGTCTCCCTCCAGCTCCATCTTACTCAAACACAGACATTCCTGAGCTAGAGATTCTAACTGCAAGCTAGTTACTACCTGTCCCATTCACCTGGTTAGACTTTTTTACTGCTGACTGGTCAGGGCCGGAGGGTCACTGATTCTGTTCCCTGGCCTTGGCAGAATGACTCTCTCACCTAGGAACCATTAGGGTTCCTTTGGAAGATCATGTGCCTGTTCTCTAGGAACTAGACCTTATTTTTCTTCTTTGATGCAGTAGGGCATGTTCTCTGTTTTACGCAAACATTTATGAGCGATAACTCCTCCCCCCAGAAAGAGGCCCTAAGTAAAAGTACAACCCTGAAAGATTATGGACTATGAATTCTTTCTGGTGGAGATCACTTTCTACAACTAAATCTCAGTTTTTCCTGTTTCTCTTGTGATGAAGGGGTTGCCTTTTAGTAAGGGAAAAGATTTTTAGTTATAGAGTTAAACATCATGGAAATCCAACCCAGATATTTTAAAAGCATGGTCCTCTTGAAGAGAAATAGTAATGACGGTAATGTTAACAGTGACTGTAACAATATGGCAGATTATTGAATGAAATGAATTAACTTGAATAAAGACTGTGATTTTCTATTTAAAATCTTCTCTATTTAAAAAAAAAGAACTTTTTTTTTCAGCAAATGCAGCCTGTGGTTGCTTATTTCTGATAGTCACTTAGATAAAAATGGTAAAATACCACTTTACCAGATAAATGGTAACATACCATTAAAATGCAACTCAATGAAGGTGATTCTACAAGCAGCTTAGCTCAAATGATCCAACATGATTCAGGGAAAAGACCCAGAGTTTTGAGATGAATAGATAGCACATATACTAAGCATTTTTTCGTATTTTTCTCAACAAGGCTTTTGTTAGATAGTTGACAGAGTGTGGTTATACTCTGTGGTGATTGTCTGGAGTGATATGATCTTTGTGTTGCTGGTTGAGGGTGAATTTATATGCTTTAAAAACAAGAACGTGTTCAAGTTGATATTCTGTTTTGGATATGAAGGGACCCAACCAACACATTCACCTGAAATGAAGGTGAACTTTTCCATGGAACTGGGCCCTTAGTGCACCTACAAAGAAAACTTGATTTTCTTTCCTGAAGCAATTTTAAATTCCTTTCACAACTTAAACTAGTGCTTGTTTTAGTTTTAAAAAAGTGAATACCATGGAAAATGACTAAAGTTAGTTTTGAAAAATTTCAAAGCAGGTAGTATCTTGGTTGCTTATACCAACTGCCATAGTCCAGTCAGGTGCTGTAACAAAATACCATAGACTGAGTAGCTTATACACAACTGAAATTTATTTCTCACAGTTCTGGAGGCTGGAAGTCCAAGATCAGAGTGCCACCATGGTTGTATTCTGGTGAAGGACCTCTTCCTGATCCACAGCTGGCCCCTTCTCATTATGTCCTCATATAGTGGAAGAGTTGAGGGATCTCTGTGGTGTCCCTTTTATAAGAGCACTAATCCCATTCATGAGGACTCCACCCTTATAACTTAAGCACCTCCCAAAGACCTCACCTCCTAACACCATCACATTGGGCATTGGGATTTCAACATATGAATTTGAGGGCAACACATTCAGACCATGCACAAATCTTCGGTAATTACTTTTGTGCATTATCTGTTATGGTGTTATGTGAATTTCTAGTTTTGTTATAAAATTTAAAATATAGTTGAACAAAGCTAAGTGGGCTCTTGTGTGAAATAGCTATATGTTGTTGTTTAATATGCACCAGTTGCACATTAGGAGAATGTTTGCCAATAACAGTTACTCTGTCTTGCAATGCTCTGCTTTCTAAAGAATTAGGTAGGGGTGCCTGGGTGGCTCAGCCGGTTAAGCATCCGACTCTTGATTTTGGCTCAGGTCATGATCTCAGGGTCTTGGGATCAAGGCCCGTGTCAGGCTCCGTGCTCAGAGTGAGTCTGCTTGAGATTCTCTCTCTCCCTGTCCCTTTTCCCCTCCCCCCGCAAAAGGAATTAGGTAGTAGGATCAATTACCATTTAGACCATTCTGGTTTGAAAAATAAAAAAAATCACTGGTAAGAGGAAAGTTATCTTTCTGTTTTTTTTTTTCAATTTCAGCAGAATTTATAATTCCATAAGTGTATTACTTAGAATTTTTTTTTTTCCTTATTAGTAGGTACAAGCAGTCAAGTTTCTTCCTTAAAGAGACCTGAAGAGGATGATATGGCTTTCTTTGAAAGACAGTACCAAGAAAGGGTAAGTCTGTGGTGAAATCTATATTAAGCATTTAACATGTGACAAAGACACAGTAGAATTACATATTGATTGTGGATCATCATTAAAAATAATTTATAGGGGCTCCTGGGTGACTCAGATGTTAAGCATCTGCCTTTGGCTCAGGTCATGATCCCAGGGTCCTGGGATCGAGCCCTGCATCGGGTTCCCTGCTCTGCGGGAAGCCTGCTTCTCCCTCTCCCACTCCCCGGGCTTGTGTTCCCTCTCTCGCTGTGTCTCTCTCTGTCAAATAAATAAATAAAATCTTTAAAGATTTTTTTTATTTATTCATTTGAGAGAGAGAATGAGATAGAGAGCATGAGAGGGGAGAGGGTCAGAGGGAGAAGCAGACTCCCTGCTGAGCAGGGAGCCCGATGCGGGACTCGATCCCGGGACTCCAGGATCATGACCTGAGCCGAAGGCAGTCGCTTAACCAACTGAGCCACCCAGGCGCCCATAAATAAAATCTTTAAAAAAAATATTTTATAAAGCCTTTACTTACAGCTGGTGTTAGGCCTTGAGACTTACTTACAATGATTCAGAGAGAAATAGGATGAATGAATAATATGATATATAATATAATAGTTAATTTATGAAGATCATAAAGATTGACTAAATATATAGATAAAATTATCAATAATAAACATCAGCTATCAGCAGATTTGTAAATTATATGTATGTTGAATTCTTTTTTTTTAAAGATTTATTTATTTTAGAAATAGAGTGTGCATGCACAAGTGGGGGGAGGGGCAGAGGGACAGGGAGAGAATCTCAAGCAGAGGCCCTGCTGAGCGAGGGGTCTGACGTGGGGCTAGATCTCACACCTTGAGATCATGACCACAGCCGAAATCAACTCTTGTTGGACACTCAATTGACTGAGCCACCCAGGTGCCCCTGTATCTTGAATTCTTAATATGTAATATTTCTTCTTCTCAGTGCATTCAAGGTATATCTAGACTCAAGTTAAATTACCCATTAGCCTTTAAGAAACTGAACACTAAATATAAGTGTATTTAAGCAATTCCCAGGGCTCAACAACTATGCTATTGATGTGTTCCCAGCTTTCAGTAGTGATAATTTGCATCATTCTCTACCATACTATAAACTCCTTAGGGATAAACAGTATTTTATTCTTCTTTATATTTTTCCCAGAACAACTACAGTGCCTTGTACGTAATAAGTTTTCAATAAATATTTATGGAGAATTGAAAAAGGAAACATATTAATTGATACTGTCATACATGTCATATGGTTAGACATTTGATGTGTTTCATGGCAGTGTTCATATTGAGAGTTTTGTTTTTGTTTGTTGCCTGATGAAAGTATGTTGGTTTGATGAGGTATGGGGGATGGTATCCAGCCATATGGTACGTTCGTCAAAATGCTTTCCTTAGGATTATTTTATAGTTGCTCTGTGGGTGTTTAGTATCTCTCCAACTGGGTAATAAGTGCCAGGAAAGTAAAGACACTCTTGTCACTTTTTATTGTAGCTTGTTGAGTAGCCGAAGGTGTGGCGACCATTAAATAAATTCACCTTCCAAGAGGAAGAGAAGGGAGTAGGGGACAGAGAGCTCAGCTTGGTTTCCCTGATGAGGAATTTTGAAGTAGAGGGGGAGAGTCCTGGATATGATTTAAGGCAGAGGTAGAAATAGAACTTTTTGCAGTGATGAAAATGTTCTATACCTGTGTTGCAGCTATTCATCATGTGTGGTTGGTTAAGTCTAAATTTAAATAAATTAAAACTTAAAATTATTTTCCTCAGTCACACCAGCCACATTTCAGGTGCTCAGTAGGCCGCATGTGGCTAGTGGCTACCGTACTGGAGAGCTCTCATCTAAGAGAAAGAGGAGAGAGTAGGATCTCAGGGAGGGAGATGAAATGGCCAGGGTGAGGAAAGAGAATGCTCTTTTTCTAGCATCATTAAGGCTAGACTTTTAATCACATCAGTCTCCATTCTTGGAATACACGAGTTCACAGCTGAATTAGTTTCTCCTTCTTAGGCTTATGAGGGACAGGGTTCTAGAACTCCTTCCTTCCCTCCTCCAGAAGCCTGGGTCGTGCTGACTGCCTTGAAAACATGCCAGTGGTATTTGCTTGTGGGAAGATAATGGGGGGAGGGATTGTTTTAGAGGATATACCTGGCCAATCCAAACTGCTTATTATAAATAGACCTAGAATTTATGGGTTTACAAGATGTTGTTTATAACTCTCCAGCTTGTGTGATTTATGGATTTATGAGACACAGCTTATAAACTTTCCAGCCTGTGTGATTAATGGCATACAAAAACTAAGAAGCTCAAACCTAAACAACTTCCTCTAAGCTGACATGTATTATATGTGTTGTTAGTACTTGAATTTTACTCCAGAAAAAACAAGATATGCACCGTTGAGGGAAAAGGGATGATTAGGAAGCTGAATCTGATGATGGGTCACAGCCCCTTTAGAAAGCAGTGCGATGTCTGTGTCTGGTTTTGCTTGCATCCTGGTACAATGGTAACATTTAGTGTGGGGAAAAATCTACCATAAGTGTGAGTTGGCTTTGATGATTGAAGCCTTTGTGGTAACATAGTTTACTAATCACTTTTAGGTATTATTAAAGAGTTGTTTCATTGCTTCTTTTATATATTAGGTCAAGTTATTTTCTTCCATTGTGAATGACCCTTGTTCTCTTATCTCTAAGAAAGGAGAATTTTATTAAGGAAACAATTATCAAAGGTGAAGTAGGTGCAAGGTGCTATTGCTGTTAGTGCCAGGAAATTGAAAAAGAAACAAAGGAGCAGGAGGGGGTATCTTTGCTCTTCAGACACTAGATTAGATGGATGTATTGCTAAGTACTATTTCAAGTGAGGAAGCCCTGCTTTGGCTTCGTTTGGTTGTTTAGCATCTTCTCTCTCTCTCTCTCTCTTTTAGATTTTATTTATTTATTTGACAGAGAGAGGGAACACAAGCATTGGGGTGTGCGAGAGGGAGAAGCAGGCTTCCCACTGAGCAGGGAGCCCGATGCGGGGTTCGATCCCAGGATTCTGGGATCATGACCTGAGCCGAAGGCAGACGCTTAACGACTGAGCCACCCAGGTGCCCCTAGCATCTTGTCTCTTTTTTGATGTGACTATAAATCCAACACTTGGCCCTAAATGAGAGAGGAAAAGGGACTAGCATTTGTTGATTGCTTATTAAGTACCTGGATCTTATATATATGATCTCATTTATACCTTTAAAACAACCCTGAGAAGTACCTATTACTCTGGCCTTTTTTTTTTTTTTTTTTCCCAAATGAGAAAACTGTTGGTGAGTCCAAAGCCTATAATCTTTGCCTTAGTATAGGGTATTCCTTTGGGGGTCCTTCAGATGACCTGTTGACTAATACAGTGTAAAAGAGTGACATGAATGTAGGGTTTTTGAATGAGAGTCCCAACCAACTCAGGAGAGAGAGGGGAAAAAATGGGGATGAGACAGAGGTGAGATATATACATTTTATTATTGGGAAGTTATTATTTACAATTTGAGGAGATTGGATAGACTGGTTTTACTAGGTCCCCTCTGGTTTCTTGATATTATTCCTATCACCTTAGAAGGTAGGAGGCCCTCCACCTACCATGCCCCATACTTTCTGTCCCTTTCTCTTACAGGGATAAGGCAGTGGGTGCTGCCTCTGGGAGTTGTAAGAGGCAAGTGGGCTTTGTGTTCTCTAGGGTCTTTTTTCCCATAGAAAGGATTTCAGTGTTTCTAAAGGTCAGAAGACCACTACTTAGGGTATGTAAGCTGCTTCTTTGCTTCAGTTACACTGGAGGGCAACCTTCAGGGAGGTAACTGTGGAAATGTTAAAACCAGAATTATAGGAAACTATCCTTAAAGCAGGCCACGTTCCAGAGATATCCAGCTGCATTAGGTGTGTTCTTTAGGGAATGTGCATAGACCGGATGTAAGGTTAGGTATTTAGGCTTTCATAAAACAATTTTTTTAGTGGCATTTAAGTTAACTTAACAATTTGCTCCAAAACAATATTCACTCTATGTTATTTTTATTAAAATGCTTCTGCAAAGTTGAAATCATACTATATTTTAAAAATGCAGTTAGGTCCCTTCAACTATTAGATTTTGCTTTAGAATTTAGCAGCTTAATCACTGCTAAATAAGTGTATGAAATGGCTGTGATGAATGAGACATGAATCAAATAAGGTGTGTACAACCTTTTTTTCTTTAGAATGTTTTACAAATTATTTTATCAACAAATATTTTAACTTTACAGATAAAAATGGAAAAGGTTGCTAAGCAGAAAGGAAAAGCATCATTGCCATCAAGTACAAAACCTTCATGAAGACTATTGGGAAAATTAAAACCATCATCCAAATAGGTCTTGTTTGTGTTTATTTAAATATAATAATACAGTTTATTTTCTCTCAAATTATTTACTTCTTTTACTATGTAAAAATGTCGTTTTGGTTTTTTCCTTAATTTATTTAAACAAGTGAAAATACTTTGTTACTTTTATCAAAATTCATGATTTAATATTTTGTATGTACTTTTTATCTCTCCTAACAAATGAGGTTATTTTCATATTAGTCAAAACCTGAAAATACAGTAACTGTTTTTAGTCTGTCATAATTTAACTTTTTGAGGGTATTTAAAAAAGTATGTTATTTTGGGGTTTGAACAAATATATAAGGAGCCCTGTTTAAAAATAGTAAGTTAAAATCCCTATTTTTTATTTTTTAAACATTGTAATCTTGATTTATGTTTTTAAATAAAAAGCTGTATTTAAAAATTATATAATCATTTTCTAGTGGTGTCTACTGATTTTTAAGTTGTTTGGTTGATTATGCACTGTATGTAACTGTATTGAACTTCTTGTGTGCCACCTCAAATCCTCTTGGCCCGCCTCTTACTCGAGGACTGCTGTGAAACACTTCCAGGCAGGCTTCTTTTTTTTTTTTTTTTTTTGCAGTTTTATACCTTTATTTGACAATCAGTGATTAGTTCTCATCCACATTAGCTGTCTGTAGATTTTTGAAAGGGGTGACAGGTACATAGGTAACCAGTGTGTAGAGCTTGTTTGGTGAATCTTGATCCTCGTTACGTTTTCTGCACAACTGCACATGGATACGGTATGGAACATTCCTTATTCCTTTGGCCCAGATAGCTTTGTTGAGCCTGGTGTCAATGCACACATCTGGAGTTCCCATCTCCTTCATGGCAAATTTCTGATCTCTTTGAGTGCCCGAGGGACATGCTTTCTTGAAACCCACTCCATGGTTGCGCTTGTGAATGTTGGTGGTGTATTCTCTGGTCACTACCTCGTTGATTGCAGAACAGCCCTTCTTCTTCTCGCCGCCCTTCCTTGCGGGAGCCATTCTGCCGGGCCGTGGTTGGGAAGGAAGAGCGTGAGGTATTGTGGGAGAGGGAAAGCCCCAGGCAGGCTTCTGACAGCTTCTCATGGAAGCCATTTGATGGCATTTCATCTTGAGAACACTTCATGATTCCCTTGCCTTTTTTCTCCAGGGATCCTCTGACAGTGTGGCTTGGGATGCCTACTGCAGCCCTTCTGCATCACAGATGTATGAAAGATGCGGGGGAGTTAATGACCTTGGGACCACCCTTGACTTATGGGTGAATGCTCTCTTTCCCATCTGCTGGGAGGAGAATTCTGAGATGCCTTTCATAAGTTTCCTCAGAAAATCCTGTGGGATTGAGTACCAGTCACCCATAGCAGTGGCCAACTCTGTAATACATTCTTACCATGTTAGCTTTCGCTAATTTCTCCCTTTCTGATCCCTCAGGTTCTCTCAGATTACTTCTCAAATAAATACCTGTATGTGAGTATTTGTCTTAGGCTTTGCTTTTGGGTGGTGGGGAAACCCAGGCCAAGATGGGTACCAGGAATGGCCTTAGAAAGCAAATCCTCTGGATGCGATTCTGTGACAGGATCATTCACTGGACAGATGACAATTAAGTCATCTGGATTTGGGTAGAGTGTGGGTGGAAGGTGAAGTATTAGGTTATATCGTAGTTGTGGCATTGTGGTGGAATGGGACTAATGGAAATTATAAAGATGAAAGTGTTGGTTAGTTATTGTTAACTACTTTAACAATATTTTAATTAACCTTGAAAAAAGAAAATGACATAGGTTCCTGTTAGCTATTTAAGTCAAGGCATGCTGTGAGAGCCAGAATGCCTCTATAGCACCCTTTAAGGAAAATCTCATCATTGATGCTGGCAATATGTGCTGACAATCCAGCCCAAATTGTAAAGGTGGCAAGGGTGCAAAGGAAATTGAAGATGCAGCCTCGATTATCTCCTCCAGCAAAGTCAGCATGCTGACAGGAAAAGATTGTAATGTTGAATCATAGAATGGGAACATTTGTGTTGGTGAGCCTCAGAATCTGGAACCCTCATGTCTCCTTGATTCTCTGAGCCACAGAAGTGGTCTCCCCTCCTCCACTTTGTTGATGGAGAGCAGCCTTCACTTGCTTGGAGATCCTGCAAAGAATTTATCTGGGGCACTTGCTTTGTAAGATGATACTTGTCCTCCTCAAGACTCACCCCTGCTACCTCTCCTTAACTCCATACTGAAAAGTAGGATCAGGTCTCAGCATACCCTAAGTGGGGAAATACAGTCCTTTCTATAGGAGGATAGGTTACACTCTGAATGAACTGTAGGTTCTGGTTAAAATGTATTGGCAGGAATCCAGGAAACATGCATGGGAGTAGGTCTCAAGGGCGTTGGAGGGGGATGGAATATAAGGCCTGATAGGAGAGAGTAACATGGTAGCACTTAAACTCCTGACTTGGGTTTTAATACCTTAGATATCTGGATATGGTCCTAACATACTGCTAGGATGGCATCTAGAAGATATGGTGGAAATGCTAGAATTTATTTGGCATGGTATTAAAGAAGGGATCATAAAGCTCAGGGAAGTTGCAGTGTTAGAATGGATTTGTTGTTTGAAACTTGAGAAGCTACCACTTGAGTGTTTTTCCTGGGAAGGCTCAGATGACACTCATAAGCAAGGCAATCAAAAATGTAGTGGTGAGGAGTGTACTGGCAACTTTGAGAAGTATGGCTGTGGCTGAGCTCTACAGGCTGGAATCGATGGCAGCAGATGCTGCCATGATCCTGGGCTCTTTGATATCAGCGTAGATGATGGGATACAGAAAGGTGGAAGGCCAGGTTGTGGAACCTAACTGTCAGATGCCCAATGGACATAATTAATGGGTACCAAGGCATGGATCTGTGAAGGAGTTTAAGATCATGATGTTCCAAAGGGCAAGATAGAAGGACAGCTGATTAGGATGCTACTTGACTTGTATATCCACTTGTATAACTACTAGCAACTAGTTTTCAGATCTCAGGCACTGATGGAAGGGAAAGCCCAGATTCCCTTGAGAAAGGGTCCTCAAGTATATTTGATAAACATCACCTTGATCCTTCCCCAAAGGAGCAGCCATTTACCAGGGTAACTATGCAGTGAAGAAAGAAGAATACTCAGATTTTTCAACCAAGGACTTTCGGATATAAGGTCTGAGCTAATATGGATCCCAAAGGACCCAAAACACAATTGTGGTCCTCTGGTTTTATGCAAGCCCAGTGATAAATGGAGTCCTGACCAAAGTCCATCCCAGTGGGTATAATGGGTGTGGCCCCACTCTTTATTTCTGAAGTACCTAAATACACATAATTGGGATAGATATACTTAGAAGCTGATAGAATCCTTGGACCTACATTGATAGCTCTTGCTTCATGTCCCAGATACTTCTCAGAAGTTGCAGGCTTGGGTCAGAGTTAATGACCCAGGGGCCTCCCTTGACCAAAGTGTTACGTAGGCCCAAAGTGAGTGAGGCTCTAGAAGACTTGAACAACTATTAACCAACTTTGTGTAATTGACATTTATAGGACAATCAATCCAATAATCGAATACCCATTCTTTTTTTTTTTTAAATGCACAGGTAATATTTACTAAGACTGACCATATTCTAGGTCACAAAACAAGTCTCAGTACTTTTAAGATGATTCAGATCACGATGTCCTCTGACCACAATGGAATTAAATTAGGGATCAGTAACAGATATCTGGGAAATCTTCAAAAATTGCAAAGTTATATAATACATATCTAAATAATCCATGGGTCAAAGAAAAAAAATAAAGGAATCAAAGTACTTTTAATTGAATGAAAAGACAACATAAAAATATTTGTGGGATTCAGCTAAAACAGTACATAGAGGGAAACTTATAGCACCAAATGCCTATATCAGAAAAGAAGAAAGATCATAAATAAGTGACCTCAGTTTTCACCTTAAGGAACCAGAGAAAGAAGGGCAAATAAAATAAATAGGAAAAAGGAAATAGTAAAGACCAGAGCAGAAATAGAAAACAGAAATGCAATAGAGAAAATGAATAAAACAAAACACTGGTTTTTTGAGGAGACCAGTAAATTGATAACAGCTAGACTGATGAGCAAAGGATAGAAAGAGAACACACAAATCATCAATGTTAGGAATGAGAGTGATGACATCACTACATATTCTACAGATACTAGATGGATAATAAGGGAATGTTATAAATAACTTCATGCCAATGAATTTTACAACTTAGATGGAAATAGATAAATTTTCTTGAAATACAAAAACTTAAGCTCATTCAATAATAAATAGATAAACTGATTAGCCCTATATTGTATACTATTATCCCATATATCAAAGAAACTAATTTGTACATAATAACTTTCCCACAAAGAAAATTCCAGGCCCAGGGCACCTGGGTGGCTCAGTTGGTTAAGCGACTGCCTTCAGCTCAGGTCATGATCCCAGAGTTCCGGGATCAAGTCTTGCATCGGGCTTCCTGCTCAGCAGGGAGTCTGCTTCTCCCTCTGACCCTCCCCCCCCATGCTCTCTCTCTCTCTCATTCTCTCTCTCAAATAAATAAATCTTAAAAAAAAAAAATTCCAGGCCCAGATGGCTGCACTGTAAATTTTACCAAATATTTAAGGATTAAAGATTACTAATTCTAAACAGCCTTTTCCAGAAAATTGAAGTTGGGAATTCTTTACTTAATTACTCTATGTGGGCAGCATTACTCAGATATGAAAACCAGACGAAGACATAAGAAGAAAAAGTTTCAGATTAATTCCTCTCAAACATAGATGCAAACATTCTTAACAATTTTAGCAAATATAATACAAGAGTATGTGAAAAGGAAATACATCATGATCGAGTGGGTGTTATCCAAGGAATAGAAGGTTGGCTTAACATTTGAAAATTAATGTAATTCATCATATTAACCAACTAAAAAGAACTACATGATCACTTCAATAGGTGTATGAGTACTTGACAAAATTTAACACACATTCAAGATAAAAACTCTCAGCAAACTAAGAATTAAGGTAATTTCTTCAATCTGATAAAAGGTATTTACTAAAAACCCACAGTTAACATCATACCTAACGCCGAAAGCCAAATGCTTTCCTCCTAAGATTAGGAACTTGGCAAGGATGACTGCTCTCAGCACTTCTATTCAACCTACTGGAGGTTCTTGCCACTTTAATAAAGAAAGATAAAAGAAATAAAAGATACCCAGATTGGAAAGGAAAAAAGTAAAAGTCTTTATTTGCATATGACATCATATATGTAGAAATTCTATTAAATATATTAAAAAAGAAACTCACTAGAAATAGTAAGTGAATTTAGCAAGGATGCAGAAA